AACATACAGCAGTGTTAGCATGAACGTTCATCTGAGTTGGTAAATTACATTATGAAAACTTAAATGTTCTCCAACTCAAAATTTGACTCACCAGAAATTTTCGACTGAATCGCTCAGTCTTCAGCTATCTGACCCAAATGCTGTGGACACGGGGGCGATATCGACTTCAGACAACCTTTGACCCTTTGCTGACGTCACACGTGGGAAAAATCACGTGTCCACAGCATTTGGGTCAGATAGCTGAGGAAAACTGAGTGATTCAGTCGAAAATTTCTGGTGAGTCAAATTTTGAGTTGGAGAACAGTTTAAGTTTTTCATAACAGTGAAGGTTAACTAAGACAAATGATGATTTCATAAGTGACAGTGATTATCATTATACAACCATCGTCTGACGCTCCAAGTTAAGAGATATAGTGAATGTAGTGTCTGTCATTATTTGACTGAATACGAAAGATGTCTTTCGTTTAATTCACTTGAAATCACGTCAATTTATGCGTGTCTATTTAATCATCTAGTTCAAGCATATTAATCATATAGCCAGGAGGCGTTGACCAATCAGAAGGCTCCATTTGCCATTGGTTATCAGCCCGGAACCTCAAAAGTGGTCGGTTTTTACAATAACCGACCACTCGGTTATCATAATGGACGACCAATTTTTGGAATAACCGACCACTTTTTGGACCATGCCATTATACAGGGGACATGACGCTACGCTCACTCGGTGGTTTATTCAGTGGTTATCGCACCTGACCAGGGATTATCTCACGGTCCATATACACCTCAGGGTGGGGCATTAACCCTTTATTGCACTCTCTAACGAACAGGCACATCCAAGTCAACACTGACGATGAACTTCTCGACCTGAGGGACGCCATCTTGCGGGCGCCATTGTGGATGACGTGTACCATCCGTTCCCAGAAGTCCGCCATCTCCAGACTCAGTTCCACCGGGTCTGACGACTACGCAGCCGCGGAGGAGGAGAGCCGGATAAAAGGTAGACTTTAGCCAGAAGATGCCAACCAATCAGAAGGCTTCATTTCCCATTGGTTCTCAGGCCGTAACCTCAAAGTGGTCGGTCATTAGAATAACCGACCACTTTTTGGACCAAACCATTATACATGGGACAGCACACTACGCTCACTCGGTGGTTTATTCAGTGGTTATCGCACCTGGTTTCTTATTAAAAAATCCTTTAAAAACACATAGTGATGATAGTGACGCTATTTTCCTTTGGAGACCAGGAAAAAGGCGTTAACACAAATGGTAGAACGGCTACTAGTATTTGATTAGATCAAGCAGGCTATAGGTCTATATAATCATCCTTGACTAGATCAAGAATGCTCAAGCAACGTGTTAACACTATATACCTTCGCTAAGAACTGTTGTGGTAAAACAGATGTACGTATTTTGTACTATATTCAACGGCCTTTCTTTGAATAGAAACATGGTTTCACAACGATGGCCATGCGTCATTACCCATATTAAATAAGGTCTAATGATTTCCCCTATTCAACATATTCGCTATGAAGGTTCCTTTCCTTCTACTTCTGACATGTTCGATTTCTTCATGTTGCCCATGTTGCAGGTAGTTTTATCATGCTGGTGAACACACACCACGCGGGGATACGGACACAGCTGCTGGAGGCATTCGCGCACGCCATCGGCAGGGCCTCCATGGGCAGACGGTACACACTGAGGGTCGGTAATACATGTTATGTCCTCATCACGGTCGGCAGAACGTACTGCTCCTGCACAAACCCCCAATTTATCACGGCTTTCGTTGTATTTTTGGTCAACGTTGCATCAGAATTTTGGCTGTTGCAGGCGATATCTTCTGCATGCGATACAGCATTTGGAAACTACAGACGGGATGTTCACCTTATATTCGCGAATACGACCTTATATGAAACGTTCTGCCGAAGTGCTATGAACAATATATTACGGGGTTAGCGCAGGTGCAGTACATTCTGTCGAGGTGCTAGCCTCCTGTGCAGGCCCCGCGGCGGAGGAGAAGAGTTTTTAGCGCGTTATTTTAATATAACGGGCCATCCTACATAGCCGCCGAGACAAGGTGGGCGGAATGGAACCTTCTCTCGGCGGCTATGTAGGATGGCCGGCTATATTAAAATAACGCGCTAAAAACTCTTCCCCATCGCCACGGGGCCTGCGCAGGATGCTACGAGGTGCCAATGTCCTCACGCTTGCCGACGTCTCCTGCGTGAGAACTAATGTAGAAGGGATTATCCTTGTCAGGTAGCAGGTCACGACGTACGGAACAAAAAAACACTTTACTGTGATCATTAGGTTGTAGATAGTGTAGATTCTCTTGTCATATCTTATCTCGGGAAAAAGTCAAAAAAAGTTTGCGCAGCGGTGTTAGAACAGGTCGGGTTGTCAAGGTCAAGGTTTGTGTCTCTACCATTCCTGGCAACATCAGTGTATACCGATATTTCTTTAAAAAAACCTTCCTGGACCATACTTCTAGCCTAAACAGAGAGCGGCAAACTGGGCCTCCATGGGCAGAACGTACACACCGAGGGTCGGTAATAATGTCATCACACGCTTTCCGACGTCTCCTGCGTGAGAACGTAATATAGAAGGGGTTATCCATGTCAGGTAGCAGGTCACGACAGAACAAAAAGGAACTTTACTGTGATCATTAGATTCTTTTGGATACTGTAGACCATCTTGTCCTTGCCTTTGACATATTTGATTTTTGGAAAACGTCTTAGGACAATGTTAGAATAGGCCGGATTGTCAATATCCAGAATCACTGGATGGACTACTTTGTCATATACGTTTGACATCAGTATTTGGTCAATTTCTAATCTCCAAGCAGTTCTTTTGGTTGCCGCAAAAGACAACATCAAATTGGCCAGGCAGTATCCTTTAAATTTAGCCAGACGGTATCCGTTGGCCACTCGGGTACCCGAATTGAAAGATCTGCTTGGAGATTAGCCAATTTCTACTCTTTCCATCCTCTTCTCGAAGCCTGGCAGAGGCTAGTTCGATTAGAGACCTGGCAACATCAGTGATTATTTATCTATTTATTTATTTATTGGTTCGGCTGGTACAACACAGCCAGGGCAGCCCAACTAGCTTGAAACTATTATTAAGGGCTTTCCCTGGGGAAAAAGTATGGTTAAATACATACAAGTGACATAAATTCTTAAAACGTCTTAATTACATAGGGTCAACGAATTGTGATCACTTATATATACAAATTACATCAGTGATTACTAATATTTTTCTAAGAAAAAAAACTTATTAAACCTTTTTTTCTGACGAATGTCAGGTCAGCTTCACGAACGCGATGAAGGAATTCTACAAGGAGTACCTGAGAGGACAGGGGATCCGGGGCGCCTTCACCATCACAGGCGCGTCCTTCCGCGTCAGCAGCGCGCACAGGAACGACAGGTGGGCCTTCGTCACCGACCTGTGGAAGAAAACGGGCGAGATGAGGCACAACGTTCACGCGAAGGTCAGTTGTTGTTACAGCACGCTCACATTAGTCGTACGTTCGTCGTACAACTGAGTGCATTCTTATCATGAATGTTCATCTGTGTTGGTAGTAATCATATAGTAAAATGTTGAAATTGATGCCAACACAAGGATTACACAGAGATCAAATTTTCAGCAACCACTGTCGCCTTCATCAGGATAATTAATGACTAATCACTTCACAACGTGATCTCGCGAGAGTAACGGTTACAGACACGTGACCTTATTCACTCGAGACTTTAGGGATACATCACGTCAGCAATTGATCAAACGTGCCAGGAAGTTTATATCGTCCACCGTCTCTGAGGCCATGAGGGCATTTTTGGGATAGCCGTGCGTTACGGAAAATCCTTAACAGGACAATACTCATTTTTACTTAATTTAAGTGAGGAAAGTCGTGTGAAGTGCCTTTTCCAAGGGCGGTGACATTCTCAGGACTAGAACCCGGGACCTTTTGGTTCCGAGTCGAGCACTCTGTCGTTACGCCATACGACCCTACTAATGACAATTCTTACTGCACACAATCCAGGTGTCGTACCTGGAGTTCTCCACGCGGGTTATCCAGGAGAAGCCGCGGTACATGAAGGAGGTGGACCATCACCGCTTCCCCAGGGGGTCCTCTCACAGCGGCTACAGGGTGGAGAGGTTCTTCCACGGCTGAGCGCAACAGTCACGGAAATAGTATACAATACTGTATGGATTCACACCTTGGATTAGGCCACAGCATGTAATTTTTATGGATGATATCAGCGCCCGCATTAATTTTCGCCTGGTTTGGGGGAAGAAAACTTGAAATTTTGTTGCCCTCTGACAATGGTCAACATGCTGAAAATGGGCAAAATGGCTTGCCTTGCCATACCGAAACGTGTATGGCAGATGAATATGTAGAGAGGAGACAAGAAAAGGCTCTAATTTGATGTTTTGTCTGTTACTTTGATGCAGTGATGTATTCATTTCCTTATATACGCGATGCTGCCTGTGTATATGTGATGTTCCCAATGTATCCAAACCATTTGTACAATGATTGAAATTTTTATTTTTCAGTGAGAAATGGATAAACTTATAGCTCAGTATAGGTTATCATGTCTTGTTTAACAAGGCTTATGATGTCAAAATGTTTTTTTTTTGGCGCCCGCGTTGTTTTTTTTTTCGCCCTCTTGCACTAGATTTGGAGTCTGTGGAGAATGTCATCCATAAAATTTACTTGCTGTGGCCTAATACCAAATCACAACACTGTGAAAAACCAGACCTGTTCTAGCATCCTACAATGTGAAAAATTGTGCGGGTTTGAATAATCTTTTGGGGTCCTATATATAACGAAAACACTTAGCATAACTTGATATGATTAACACGTGTACTATATACATCACAACCATAGAAATTAATGTATTTTTTTCTGTTCGCCCTTCTTTTTTCTCTTAAAGAACTATCAAATGGACAGGTCAAACGAATTGTATATTTTATATATAAAAACAAGGGATCACTGTAGATATTTTCTAGACCACGTAAAAAAATGTTAAAATTGACGTTTGGTGACACCTGTGCAAAAATGAAAACCAGAAAATTACCACCATAGAAATACAACCACAGATGATTCTTAAACTATGAAACAAACGTCTTCATGGATTATGAAAAACTTAAAACTGTTCTCCAACTCAAAATTTTGACTCACCAGAAATTTTCGACTGAATCACTCAGTCTTCCTCAGCTATCTGACCCAAGTGCTGTGGACACGTGATTTTTCCCACGTGTGACGTCAGCAAAGGGTCAAAGGTTGTCTGAAGTCGATATCGCCCCCCGTCCCGGTCGAAAATTTTCAGTCGAAAATTTCTGGTGAGTCAAAATTTTGAGTTGGAGAACAGTTTAATTTACCAACTCAGATGAACTTTCATGCTGTCTTCATGGATTGTGTAAATACAAGTCTATTAGCAAGATTTGAAAAAAAATACCGGATTTACAATATAATTTTTCAGATTCATAACGCGTTCTTGTGGATTCGCACATTTTTACCATTCAACATTATGGTCGATTATGTCATGTCATTGTTGAATGGTGGCGTGCACATTCATTATAACTATTAATTATTTATGATCTAAAAATAACGTTTATATGCAGTTTATCTGCATCAATTCTACGGAATGACAAGGCTACAAATGCTACTTGTCTGATTCTGAAGATTTATCTAAAGTGTGACGAATTTATCGTTAGTATCGTTACCCTAGTTTGTATTGTGATGATTAGTTTTACCATAAAGAAAATTGTACACTGAATAGCAAAGTTCCTTCTATCACAACCATTTATTTTTCAAGCCAACGTTTCGATGACCTTCTGTCATCTTCATCAGGGCAATTCTGACTGGATTACTGTGCACTGACACTAGATGTTACTTGGTGCATAGTGCACTAAAGGTGTTACGTAGTTCATAGTGCACTTAAGCTAGTTTTGTCTGTTTAAAATGCGTTCCGGAACGTAGTGTAATTGTGACATACATACTAGGCATTGTTACATCATAGGGAAATATGCGAATCCAAATGTAAAGTGTTTCTATATATAATATAAGATTTGTTAACTGACAATACTGAGCTATCACAGTCCCAAATAGAAATTATTACAAGTCTTGTTACATGTGTATTGTGTATTGAAAAATAAATGGTTGTGATAGAAAGAATTTTGCTATTTAAATTATTTACGGATGGAAAATTGTACACGTTTAGACTTACGAGTAGAGTACATAAGGCCATGTTGATTTGATTATATGGATGAAATCAACGAGTGCATGAATTTTCGGCCGTATAAAAAAGGTTTTCAATCACACTGTAAATCGTACAAAACAGTTGCAAAACCGTAAATGTATACCGTAAGTTGCAAAAGAAAAAGATTGGAAAATGATACCAATGTCGTAGAATGCCAAAATCAAACGAAAAAGACAAAAATGTTAAGAAATGAATGTGAAGAGTGGATTATTCACCATACCATTCTCTTGTGTCATTTGTTCAACCTTCATAACCACGTAGATTTCATAATGAAAGCAACTTTTTTTTTGGCAAAACTTTATTTTATTCGCACGCTCGCATCAGTTTTGGAATTCCCAGAGGATGTCATCCATATAATCAAATCAACATGGCCTAACTGTCATGCAAAACGCTGTCTAGCTAGATAATGATTTTATTCTTGAGTAAAATTTCCTTTTACGTCTTATGTTATCTTAATGTTAGAGAAGATTTTGAACTAAAATCTTTAACATTTCTGGCATTTATGACCGATTTAAGGACTAAAAGAAAAACAGTGCGTCATTGGTAGCACAACATTCGGTACCAATATTATACTTCGATAACAAAGCTATGCTCACTGTTATTAAATGTTGTTGCGTTTTTAATTTAATTTTTTTCACATGTCGATTGTTGTATACGTTTAGTTGCCAAAAATTAAAATATTACGCTTGTGAATATAGAATGTCCTTGACATAAGCTTCACAAAATGATGTAGTGACCGTTTAATGCTAGTATATATGTATGTTTTACATGGCGTAATACATTGTATGATTTATCGTATTTTCTCAAACATGGATTCGATTCTACTGTTGTGTATTTAAGACCATATATCATATTGCAAGCATATATCATTATGTTTTACAATATATCACAATGTTTTACAATGTAATTGCTTCTGATGTTTAAAATGAGTGGCCTACTTTTTTCTGACCACAGAGGCACGCTTTGCATCCTTGAAAAGTATTAAAGAGAAATTTTCACAAAAAAAGATATATTTGTTGTTCAGTCATACTGGTTACATGTATCTGATACCGGACACTGAAGGATAAAAAAGCGCCAACCAGCGTTTCAAAATATAATTGCAGTAACTATTGCAGTAGAGGGTCGTCACTGTAGAAAGACGTCACATCTTAACCCTTTTAGTTTCTAATGTCTACTGTAGTTTTCCTATTCCCAAAAAGGCGGATTGTTTTGCAAGTTGATCGTGTATTTTCTCCCCTCCATGCGGCTAAGATAGGTACTGCAGAGTAACTATAATGCAGTAGAGGGTCGTCACAGTAGAAAGACGTCACATCTTAACCCCTTTTTCTAATGTCTACTGCAGTTTTGCTATTCTCAAAAAGGCGGATTGTTTTGCAAGTTGATAGTGGATATTTTCCCCTCCATGCGGCTAAGATAGGTACTGCAGAGTAGACTCTTGTTGGACATGAGATCCTGTTCAATGTCATTACTTGGTTACACAACGTATATATCTTTATTTGTTCAAATCTTTCAAGGCCTAACGTTACACATGAATGTTTAACACATCGAGTAGAGTGCAGTTTGCCAGCACTTGTCGTTGATTTCGTGGGTTCATTGAAGCAAAGTGATCTATTACGAACAAGCAATGACAGATATTTTATTGACTGTAATTTAGTGTAAATGTTTTGATATCATACATCGCTTCCCGTCATTCAGCCAATATGTAAATACTGCACCTGGTTACGCAAGCGTCGATACGTCAGCTGTCGTATTTCATCAGGATTCTTTTTTTTCACGGACTCACAAACCCACATGAAAGGATGTTAGGCCACAGCAAGTAATTTTTATGGATGACATGAGCGCACGCATTAATTTTCGCCTGATTTTTGAAAGAAAAAAAAACAAGAAATTGTGTTGCCCTCTGACAGTGGTCACCATGCCAAAAATGGGCAAAGATGTCTGTTTTTTTTTTGTTTTGTTTTGTTTTTTTTATATTCCAACATGTAATCACCAGACGTGGTGACGGCACACTCAAGTTTTTTCAACTTATATTAATGCCGCCACCAACACAGGGGACAAATACATGACAGGAAAATACTCATTTACACCTGAGCTAAGTGAGGAAATTCGTGTTAAGTGCCTTTCCCAAGGGCACAAGATCGGTGGCATGTCAGGACTCGAACCCGGGACTCTTAGTTCCGAGTCGCGCACTCTGCCGCTACGCCACACGACCGATTTTAAAACGTCTCAAAGTGCCTTACAAAGGTACTGATAACTCTTTCCCTTGAAAAATATTCGTAGCAATGGCCAGGGAGGCAAATGATAACCGAGTAGCAACCTACGTATTTAGGCCACAGCAAGTAATTTTTATGGATGACATCAGCGCACGCATTAATTTTCGCCTGATTTTGGAAAAAAACAGAAATTTTGTTGCCTTCTGACAGTGGTCAACATGCCGAAAATTGGCAAAGATGTCTGTTGCCATGCCGGAACGTGGATGACAGATAACTATGAAGAGAGGAGACAAGACAAGGCTCTGATTTGATGTTTTGCCTTTTACTTTGATGGAGTGATGTATTTCATCCCTTTTATATGTGATGATGGCTGTGTTTACGTAATGTTCCCACTAAATCGAAACCATCTATGATCTAACAATGATCTAACTTTTATTTTTCAAAGTTCTTTCAGTGACAAATGGATGTTGTAATAGTTGGCAGTAAATTAAATTTAACACAATATAGGTATCATTTCTTGTTTAACAAGGGGTTTATGATCTCAAAATTTAAAAATGTAGGAATGTTTTTTTTTTTTTGGCCCGCCTTGTTTTTTTCGCCCTATCGCATTAAGTTTGGAGTCTGAGAGGATGTTATGCACAAAAAATTACTTGCTGCGGCCTTAGGTAGCTTCATTGCTGTATCCTCCATGCGTTTCTTTATCTCCTATATACATTTACGGATTTGTAAAGTAAGCGTAAAGATATGAAATATGTTTACGTTGTATTTAAGCACACTGAAAGGTGACGGAAAGACGGAATTTGCCTTTCAGCAGCCTTTACGAAGTCGTAAAGTCTACTGAAATAATTTTTTCACCTTTAAGACTTCTTTACATATTGCGGAAAGTTTGCTTAAATATCTGTTTTCGCTGTTCGTGCTGTGTATGATCGAACACAATGCCGTGCTATCTACGACATCGCCAAATATTTTCACGTGCGTCGAACAAACACAATCAATCACGTTTCACAGGAAACATAAAACGCCATCATGACATTCCAAAATTGAAAATACGTCAGACTCCAAGCAATGTTGGGATCACAATCACGAAATGGATGCAACATGAAACATGTAACGGATAGTTTATGGTTGTATCAGCCGTTTTGTCCTTGCCTTGTATCATTAGGGAACGTTTGTAGCTAGAGATGGTATTCTTCATTTCAGCTCACTGAATAGCCTCCATAGCATGCCAAAAACTGTGGGTTTTGGGGGTCTTCAGGGTCTTTTGGATCTTTTATGTGCTATTTTCTGATTGCATATAGACAACGTAGCCGGCCTGGTTGAATTACCCCCGTTTTTTTAGAACTGGACTAATCAGAAAACAGCCGAAGACCACCTAACCCCCAGCCTGCTACGGAGGCTACTTACTGAAGGCGTACAACATGCCACGAGCTGCCTTTCTTTCTGTGTCGCTGACTTTGGTAGCTCTTCTATCGAAAGCGGAGAGGGGACCATGTAGGTATTTTTTTTACTCTTTTCTTGTACATTTTCGATTCAGACGGCAAAGGCGGGTGTTTGTGATAGAATTTCAGCACCAAGGAGAGGTATAGGCACCAGCACAGCGAGACATACGTTGTCATACAGTGAGACATGTCACATACGTTTATAACAGTTTTAGTAGGGACAACAGTACAAATATCATTGTGCCCAAGTCGGTGTAAATGTACAGTATTTGAGCTGTTCATGTTCATTATATATACATGTACCCTATATCTTACAATAGTGGCGTCGGTGGCGCAACGGTTAGGGCGTTGAACTCGGAACCAATAGGTCCCGGGTTCGATACTCACCGTGCCCCGACGCTGTGCCCTTGGGAAAGGCACTCTACACGACTTCACCACCTGTATGGTGGAGTGACGCTCATCGAGCCTCTTAGGCTAATCTGTCTAGCTGTGTGCCAAAACACACTACGGCTTTGCTGCGCCAATGTGTCAACCATGATCTGCACATTTGCCACCGAAAGTCGTATTTTTTATATCTTACAGGGTGGCAGTTGAATCCGTGCGCAGGACCCAGTCAAGGTGTACCGTTCATGTGCCCAAGTGGTCCACAGCCTTTCCATCTACTAGGTAAGCTGTTACCCATAGCACTCATGTGGCAAGTTCCGTGCAGGCCAAGTATGTGTTTATATACGCTGTACAATAGTAGACTTACACAAATAAATATAGTCAAACATGAACGTTTAACGTACCGTAAATGCCAAAAATAGGGTAAAATATGAAAATCTGTATGCATGCGAATAACTATGAGCAAGGAGGATAATATACTGTAAGTCAGTTTTTTCTAAGGTCGGTCGGGAAACAGGAAACACATTTTTCCTAGGTATATATTAGCCCTCTCTCGGCTTGCCATGTGTTTGTTCCACAAGCGGCGAAAGGACATGGAAGTGAGAGTGAATTAAAAGTAATCACAACGGGATACAGGATTGTTCCCTGTAAATGCACTCCATGAATTATAAATGATCATTGATGTCAAACAAGATTGCTGTATCTACACCGCAGAACATGCGTGGTCTGTGTACCCAAAAGTAAGGCCACAGCAAGTACATTTTATGGATGACATCCTCCGCCGACGTCAAATTTAATGCGATAGGGCGAAAAAAAAAACAAGGCAGGCTAAAAAAAACAAGATTCCTACATTTTCAAATTTTGACATCATAAACCTTGTTTTTTTTAATTCCAACATGTAATCACCAGACGTGGTGACGGCACACTCAAGTTTTATCAACTTATAATAATGCCGCCACCAACACGGGACAAATACATAACAGAACAGTACTCATTTTCACCTGAGCGAAGTGAGGAAAGTCGTGTAAAGTGCCTTTCCCAAGGGCACAAGATCGGTGGCATGTCAGGACTAGAACCCGGGACCTCTAGGTTCCGAGTCGCGCACTCTGCCGCTACGCCACACGACCCCACATAAACCTTGTTAAACAAGAAATGATACATGCATTGTGCTAAGTTTACTGCTGACTAATGCAGCATCCATTTCTGAAACAACTTTGCAAAATAAACGTTTTCAATCATTGTACAAATGGTTTTGATTCAGTGGGAACATCACGTATACACGGCCACTATCATATATAAAAAGAATGAAATACATCACTGTATCAAAGCTTTAAAAGACGAAAATTAAATCAGAGCCTTTTCTTGTCTCCTCCCTTAATATTCATCTGCCATCCACGTTACGGCGTGGCAACAGACATCTTTGCCCAATTTCGGCATGTTGACCGCTGTCAGATGGCAACAAAATTTCTTCTTTTTTTCCAAAAATCAGGCGAAAATTGATGCGCGCCCTGATGTCATCCATAAAAATTACTTGCTGTGGCCTAATGTCAAGGTAACCTTTGTAGCAAATGTGATTACAGCATGACAAACTGACTCAATCAGGCGCACGGATTCTGAGGACAATAGTGTTAGATTTCAGGCTATTCTAAAGACAACAAGCTAAGGGAGTGAAGTATTATTTTTGCTCGCCTCCCTCTCTAGCTTTCTCTCTCCGGCTCTCTCTCTCTCTCTCTCTCTCTCTCACTCTCTCTCTCTCTCTCACTCTCTCTATCTCTCTCTCTATCTCTCCCTCTCTCTCTCTCCCTCTATCTCTCTCTCTAGCTCTCACTCTATCTCTATCTCACTCTCTCCCTCTCTCCTCTCTCTCTCCCTCCCTCTATCTCTCTCTCTCCCTCTCTCCATCCCTCTCTCTCTC